TCTTATGGATTTGCTCATCTGAAACTGTTCAAAACTTTAATGCAAATAATTCTTTTATAACTAAATATATTTCAAAGTAATATATAGCTTATTAGTGAAATACAACCTTGGAATGGTTCTAATGCAAAAATGACATTGCGTTTACACATGATGGTATGGTGCTATCTATGATCCATCCACGGACACGTAAAGAAATTCCAAAGTCAACTCCACCAAGTTCGCCATGCAGATTCTACAGAACTAACCCTTTTTTATTTTTTTAATTACATAAATTTTATAACAAAAAGAACTAATGCATAAAGATAAAAAAATAATTCATATCCAATGGGTTTCAATCTAACTTAATATGATAAGAGGTAAATTTTTTCCTTTTTTATTTTTTCCTTTTTAATTTGTTTCCTTTTTTGTTTTTATGATTTTTTTGTATTCATTTTGTTAAAAAAATGAAGTCCATGAAAATGTCTACCTTGTATTCCATTTGGCTTTTTTCTCTTTCAAATTTTTTTGTATATTTTAAATAAATATATTTTGTAACAAAAGATACTAATAATAAAGATAACAAAATAATCCGTATTTGACGAGTTTCGATCTATTTCGATTTAGTAAGAACAATATTTTAAAATTAAGATCAAGTTAAGACGGTTCGAATTTTTTTATAAGATACGAGATTGAGGTGGAAATTTATTTAGGTTACTTTGTTCTATCTCATATTGGGGTATATAAAAATGTATATATTTTATAATTAATTTAATTTTATATTTATATATGTATTATATTGATAGAATTATTATTTGATACTTTAATTTAAGAAATTAATATTTTAAATTTAATGAAAGTGTCTATGTGAAACCCTTTATGGCCTCTTTTTTATTTTCATTTTTTTTACTTTTTACACTTTTGTTTTGGATTTTTTATTTTTTATATTAGATATATATTGTAAGAATAAAAGGTTAATTTAACTAATCACATGTCACTTATATTTTTTTATTTTTTTTATTTTTTAATTAAATAAATTTTACAAAAAATATGAATAAAGATAACAACAACAAACTAAGGCCCCATTTGAAAGCCACCGAAAGGCACAATGAAGGCCACTTTTTCGCTTCAATCGCATTGATAATCTCTCTGGCTTTCTTTCAATATGGCACGGTTGGATAAGCACCTTCAATTGGCAACTGGAGAGGGAACCCTCCAATGGCCAACTGGGGGTATTTTTTTCTCTTTTTTATCCCTTACGTTAAGTTGCAGCCGAAAATTATGAAGAGAATTATGAATACGATTATTAAATTTAATATTATTATTCTTCTTTGTTGCAGCCGAAAGTGATGGTGATGAAGATGTGTCAAATTGCAGTAGAAAAGTTCTTTGTTTTTTTTTCTTTTTAATCCTGTGTGGCATATCTTTGTATCAATTTAATATTATTGTTTTATAATTTAAAATTTTTATTACATACAAATTTTAATCTAATATCTTTAATTGTCATTTCTCTTCTCATTATAACTAAACTTATCACCACTGTTGTATTTATATTTAAATACATATTTTTATTATTGATTTTAATCTCATTATTACAATAATCAATCTCACCTCTATCACTATTTTTAATCTCATCGGAGTCAATTTCATCGTCCATCCAAATGGACCTTAAGCCTTATATCTTATAGTTCTTGAGTTGACTATATGAATAGCCAAAAAAGGGATTATGTTAAGTCATAGTTTTGAATTTTCTTGCAGCATTCACTTTTATAAAAAAAAGAAAAAACATTTTTCATCATTTCACTTAATCTTCATATTATTTCTTATTACTTGCATCCACACCTTTCGTCGGCTACCTTTAGAAGTTTTGGTTTTTTCCAAATTTAAAAACCTATTTTTCTTAATTAGTACATAAATAGGTCTATATTTCACATGTCCAAACCATTTTAAATGGCCCTCTCTCATCTTTTTCAAAATTCAGACTACCTTTAATTTTTTTTTGAATTTCTTCATTTACAATTTTATCTCTTTTAGTCTTACCACACATCCATATAAGAATTCTCATCTCAGCTATGCTCATTTTCCTCTCTTGTTGTTTCTTAACAACCTAATACTCAATCCCGTATAACAATACAGGCTTTACAGTTATTTTATACAATTTCGTTTTTAACTTTAAAGGCATGTTGTAATCACACTACACCTCCGACGCACTTTGTCACCTCACTATCTTGTTTGAACCCTATAATTTAATCCCTTTATCTCAATATCGCTATAAATAATTGATCCCAAATTTCGAAAATGACTACTATTTAGTACTACCTTACCATACTTAATCACACCAACACCCACTTTCTTATGACATTATACATACATTATATATACTCAGTTTTATATCTACTCAATTTAAAGTTTTGAGACTCCAACGTATGCCTTTATTATTCTAATTTTGCATTAAAATCATCATTAGTTTCAATAATTAAAACTATATCATTGGCAAATAACATACACAATGGCACATTATCTTGGTTATGTCCAATGGAGCTCGTCCATAACTAATGCAAAAAGAAATTGATTTAATGCTGAGCTTTGATGCAATTCTAAAGTAATGAGAAAGCTATCAATCAAACCCCAAAATATCCTCACATTCGTTACAACTTTTTCGTACATATCTTTAACTATGTTAATATACTTTAAAAAAACTCATTTCTTCATTAAGCCCCACCAAAACACCTCCCTAAAAAACTCTATCGTATGCTTTTTTCAAATCAATAAATACCATATGTAGATTTTTTTTGTTCGAAAAGTCTCCAACAAAAGCCTCAATAGGTGAATTGCCTATATTATGGAGCGTGCTAGCATAAGTCCAAATTGGTTTTCGAAAATAGTGACCTTATGTCACAACCTACATTCAATTACTTTCTCACAAAGTTTCGTAATATGACTTATAAGCTTTATTCCTCAATAGTTTGAATAATTTTACATATCCCTTTATTATTGTATAAAGGTACTAGAATACTCTTCCTTCATTCCTTCATTCTTCTAGCATCTTTTAAGTATATTAAATTTTGTTAAAAAGATCCATCAATCATCATATCCTTATTTCATCCAAACATTTCTAAATTTCAACCAAAATTCCATCTTGTCCTATAACTTTATTTGCTTTTCTCTTTTTTTAAAGTCTCTTTAACCTTATACCTTTTAATATTATGTTTAAACATATGATTTATGTTCTTAAAAGGTATGTTAAGCTCACTTATATCATACTTAAAATTGACATTAAAGAGATTATCAAAATAACTTCTCCATCACTTCTTAATCTCCTCATCATTCATTAAAACTATTTCTGATGCGTATTATGCCATTAAGATCTTTATTTTTCTTATTACTCTTCTTAGTAATTTTGAACAACTCTTTTTTTTGTATATCTTGCCTCTAGTTTTTTATATAATTTTTCATGGATCTTAATCATTGATCTTTGAATCTCAAATAATTTTTTTGACTTCTTTTTTTGTTATTTTATATTTCATATAACTTATTTTGTCCCTATTATTTTTTAAATTTTTATATCATACTTAAAAAATATGAACAAAAATAAAATAAAAACAATTTTAACCACGATACTGTACGAATATACTGGTAGTAGTAGCTATGTATGAATATTCTATCTATGAATATTCAAAGTCCTTCAAAAGTTGCGGTCAATTTCTTTCTATCTATTAATATTCAAAGTCCTTCAAAAGTTGCCTTTTTAGTATTACTTAAACGAAACGTTAAGCAATTAATGGGGATAAAAACGCTTGTGACTCAAACGAAACGTTAGACAATAAAAAAAATGTTTTTTTTTTTTTACTTTTCAGTTGAAGTTTGGTTTTTTAATTCAAATCAAAAAAGTAATGGGGAAATATTTTTGCCGCAAAAACTTGTATTTATAATAAAAAATTATTTTATTATTTTTATATTTTTAATATTTTATGATTATATACATTTAAATATTTTATTTACTCATAATATTTTTTTAAAAAAATCAAATATTTAAATTTTTTTATCATTTTTTTGTCACCATATATTTTTTTAAACATATCTTTTTAAATTTAAAATTTTTCAACGGCAATAACACTACTAAAGTATCACTTAGCTTATTGTAACTTCTTCACGCTTGCGTGATCTCTTTGTTTGTTTAGTAAATTTGTTTGAAGTCAAAAATTCAACTACGCTAAGTCATTTGCTACTAGAAGTTCCAAAACGATGACAAATAATTAGCGTAAAAGAGCTGCTCGGCTTTCAATATCAGAAGAATTGTCTGCGGTTAATATTTGCTTACAACTGGCTTTCATTATCAGAAGAACTGTCTGCGATTAATGCAGTCAGCGGTCATATTTCCAAGTTTTCTTCGGCTAATTTTAAAAGTATATTTTCTACATTTATAAAAATAAATTTGATAATTTATGTATTTATATTTATTTATTTTATATTAAATATATATAAAATATTAAAATTATTATATTATAATTCGTATTAATATGTGAAATATAAAACATATTTTTTTATTTTTATCAAATACATATATAATTTTTATTAAAATTTTAAATCATCTTATTGTCATTTTTTTATATTATATTAAATATATTGTATTTAAAATTATCAAATTTGAACAAATATATTCAGAATTTTACTCCCGAATTAGTTCAAAATTTCAGAGTGTATTATTTATCGGATAGAAGAAAATTTTGTTCAGTTTACCCTTCGGAATTCGTCATTCGTCATTCCATCTACAATCAGTATCATGTGTTAGGTCAAGTTGCTTGAATGTTATTATTTTAATATTATGTCAGTCAAGATAGACTACTCCAGTCATGTCATGAAATATTTCCACCCTTTTATTTATTAATGTATTTATTTTTTTATACATATTAGAATATTATTCTCTACAAAAATCTACTATATATATGTGAATCCAATATGATATCTCCTTAACATCCTTTTTTAGCAACCACAGCATCAAAAGTTGAAAGGTGAAAACGGAGATGCAGCTGCAAATTTGCATTTGCTTGGCAGTAATATGGTGCCTGTTGGAAGTGGTATCCTCAAATCCACAAACACTTCTGCTAAACCAGGGGTGCAGTCCGTTCAATGTGACCAGTTTTTCAGATTTCAGCAGAAATGTAAATGCAACGTTGACAGAACTTCGGGGGCAGTTAGAGAACAACATTTACTTTGCAGTGGCTCAAGAAGCAACCGGTTCGGACCCTGTCTATGCCATGGTGCAGTGTCGGAATTACATGTCTAAACAAGACTGCATCTCCTGCTTCACCACTGCTTCATCACAAATCCGGAACTGCTCTGCTGCCAATGGTGCTCGTGTCATCTATGATGGCTGTTTTCTCAGGTACAACTTCACTTGCCCTTAATTACATGTGTAAACCATATTCAAGGGCCGATCCTTTTTTTCTCCGGAGGTATCACTTATAATATATATATATATATATATATAAAGTTATCGATGAATTTATTCATTTTTTGATCGAATTAAATCAATTTGATCAATTAATTTGGTTAAAATCGAATTTTGATCATCTCCAACTGATGAAGTAGTTTTGTGTTGATGAGGTACGAGAGCAACGTATTTTACCAACAAAACACACAAATAGGACACCAGGGGGTTTGTGGGAATCGAACAGCAACACAACAAAGTGTTTTTGAAACGACAGTTGGAGGGCTATTGGGGGATCTGATAGTGGCGACGCCTAGGATCAAGTCATTTTTTGCAGCAAGCAGCAGGCAAGTGGTTGGTGTAAATGGCAACGTAACAGTTTATGGAGTGGCACAATGTGTGGAAACCATCGACGAGAGAGGATGCAAAGCATGTTTGGATGTGGCCTATGCCAATATTCAAAGATGTCCCCCTAAATCAGATGGTAGGGCAGTAGACACTGGATGTTTCCTCAGGTACTCAGACTTGCCCTTTTTTGGGGCTAACCACACCATTGATATTAGGCCCTTCCTGAAAAGTGGTAAGACAACGTACCCCCATAATTTCAATTTTGGCAAAAAGTCAAAAATGCCTTTGAATTAAAGTTTAATAATCATCTAAGCTTTTATTGTTCTTTTTATAATTAATTAAACCTTCAAATATTTATTTTCACTCTTATTAAAAGAAAAATAATTAATTGTTTTCCATCAAATCAATGATTTAATTGAGTGAAAATTAATGTATAATAAATATTTAAATATTTGTTTTATAATTAATTAAACCTCTAAATATTTATTTTCGCTCTTATTAAAAGAAAAATAATTAATTGTTTCCGTCGAATCAATAATTTAATTGAGTAAGAATTAATGTATAAAACTTTAATTTGATGAAAATAAATATTTAAAGTTTCAATTGATTCAAAATAAAAAATTCAAGATTTAATTTATTATAATAAAATATCAAAGACTTAAGTGATTATTATGCCTTCATTTTTCTTCGCCTAATTAAATTAAATTATAAAATTAAATTGCAGGAAATACAAGCAAAAGGAATGCTCTTATTGGAGGGCTGGTTGGAGGGGGAGTCCTCTTGGTGCTTCTAATTTTATTGCTCCTTTGGGTCAAAACATCAAGAAACAAAAAGGCTGTTCCTCAAGGTATTTTATACATAAAAATTATATATATCATCATTCAAACCTCTATTCTTTTATCTCAAACATTCATTTATAATCAATTAAACCCTTATTTTGAGTAATTAATTAATTGTAATAAAAAGATAATAACTTAAATGATTTTTTAATTATAGTTTAGAGGACTTTTATTTTACATTTAAACTTCTTTTTTTTTTTTATAAACTTAGCTTTTACTTCGGTAATTCAAGTGAATATTTTTGCATAAAACTTCAAGATTTAACATTATTTGTACATATTCTCATTTTAAGATGTGATTTTAATATGTATAGCGTTAAAATTTCAGCATCTACAACTCCTTATTTTTAAAAAAATATTTAGCAAAATGATTAAGTAAAAATTGAGACTTTAAAATTTTTCACTATAACAATAACCGATGAATAAATAAAATTTTAATATTATGTGATTTGGTTATTTATAAGTTATGAAATGCATGCAGGTGATGCAGAGGGGGCACCTGAATTGCAAGGTCCATTGAGTTACACTTATAAAGAGTTGAGTTTTGCGACTTCCAACTTTAGTGAACAAAATAAATTAGGTGAAGGAGGTTTTGGGGAAGTATACAAGGTAAATTATCATAACAAAACCATCAAAGTTTTTTATTTCGCATCCATATCCCTCTAAATTTTGGGGAAAATGTAATTTTCCACTTTCTAATTTTAAATATTGCATTTTCGTCACAAACTTCAAATTTGTGCAAAATATCTCCTTCCATCAATTTAAACCATCCCATTTTTCATTGATTTAAGGCTTAAATATAACTAAAATTAAATAATCTTTTAAATTCCTATTGTTTTATTACAATTAATTGAATCATCAAATATTTATTTTTATCGAATTGAATTTTAAAATATTTATTTTTATTCAATTAAGTGAAAATATATGTTTGAAAGCTCAATTAATTGTAATAAAATGATAAATATTTGAATAATTATTTAATTTAAATTGAGAGGTTTTTTATACATCAACCTTGATTCAGTTTGCCACCAAATATATGTACATGTCAATTAGTGAATTTAATTTAACATCAGTTAAATTTTTATTAAGAAAAAAAATCATATTTGCTCCATTGAAATTATTGTAAATAATGTGATATATATTTCAAATTATAAAGATAAATATCATTTTTGTTTCGTGTCAAATATACGTAAAAAATAAAAATTATTGTATGAAATTTTATATTTGATACATCAAATATAAAATATTTTTTTATGTTTTTGTTAAACCTATGTGATTTTTTATAAAATTTTAAACCGTATTATTTTATATATTTTATTATATTATTTTTTGTATTATATTATGTCTAAATTATCAATTTTATATGGAAATTAGTAACGATAAACAGTGCAATTTAGTGAAAAATCTGTTTTTGGTTATTCAAATTTGGATTAAAGAAGTTTTTGGTGATATGAGTTAAAGGGTATATTGAAGAATGGAAGGGTGGTAGCAGTAAAGAAACTAGCGATAAGCAAATCAGAAAGGGTAAAAGCAGAATTCGATAGAGAAGTGAGGCTTATAAGTAATGTTCATCATCGCAACCTGGTTCGCCTTGTTGGATGCTGTAGTAAAGGCCCCGAGCTGCTCCTTGTCTACGAATTCATGGCTAATGGCAGCCTTGATAAGCACTTATTTGGTAATTATTTTTTTCTTCATTTCTCCAACAATATTCCTATAAATTATATAATTCTTCTTTTTTTATAATTGAAAGTGTCAGTAATTGAACCTGGTCACCAAGGTAAGGAATTGATTAATTCAGTTAATTCGATCTTAAAAATCAAAAATTAAATTAATTAATTTTTTAAAAAATAATTAAAATTGATTGACTTACTTTTAAGAGCGAAAGATAAGCACATAAATCAATCAATTTAGTTGAAAATCGATTCTTTTCATAATTCTTTTGTTATCAATTTTGAACGATATAATTTTTATCCAATAAAACGTATTTTATAATTTTATCATCAACCAATTTAATCAATCAAATTATTTTATTTAATCAACCATTTTCAAAATCATACAAACTGAATTAATGTAATCAATTAATTTAATCGATCAAATCAATTGGAACCGATTTATACTCACATCCCTTGAACAATATCATTTATGTTTTTATGCAACTAAAGAACAAATAAAATTGTTTTGTTAACAGGTGAAGGACAAGGTTGTTTGAATTGGAAACAGAGATTTGATATAATACTAGGCACAGCAAAGGGACTTGCTTATTTACACGAGGAGTTTCATGCATGCATCATTCATCGGGACATCAAACCTGGAAATATACTTTTGGACAGAGATTTTCAGCCTAAAATAGCAGATTTTGGATTGGTCAGGCTTTTACCTGCGGATCAAACTCATCTTAGCACCAAATTTGCTGGAACTTTGTAAGTCTCCTCATCATTTTATCTTTTCCACTTTGTTAAAAAAAAATATATGTATAACATGTTTCTGTGTTCCAATGCTTATCATTAAATTTATTCAACAATTAGATATTCAAATCATATTACTTGCAATTTCTTTAGCAAAATAAAAAAAAATCAAATGTTACATGTATGACTGGTCGATTTTATCTATTATGATATTTTGTAGGCTTTTTTTTTTAATCTTTTTGGGTGAATAAATTTTGATAGATGTGATAATTTATGTATTTATATTTGTTTATTTCTTATTAAATTTATGTAAAACACGAAAATAACCGTCACAATTCATATTGTCAAATGCAAAACACGTGTTACTTTCATGTATTTTTTATGTTATTTTTATATGGTATTATCATATAGTGTTTAAAATTATCATATCTAAATTTTGGTAATTAATTTAGGAATTCGTAATTTATTTTGGTTATTAATGATGAAAATTACTGGATGGATCAGTGGATATACAGCACCAGAATATGCAATCCATGGGCAATTATCAGTAAAGGTTGATACCTATAGTTTTGGTGTGGTTGTCCTTGAGATCATCAGCGGCCAAAAGAACACTGAAACCTCTCTCGATCCTACTGCTGAGTACCTTCTCAAAAGGGTGATTTCCCTAAAACTCTTTGTTTTTTTTTTTTTTTCCAAATCTTCTCTATCTAATTAAGAATTTGATCCTTTATTTATTAGTGACAACTGGCATTGAATCCTAACACATTTTTCAACTCATCTACTCTGTTTTCTTTCGCTATATGTGATCTGGAACGGATCAAATAATTTTTATATTCGTATTTGATTATTTTTATGTTTAATATGTGAAAAATATAAAAATTATTATATCATAATTAATATCAATATATTAAATATAAAATATATTTTTAATTTTTTAAATTTATATATAATTTTTATTGAATTTTTAAATCTTATCGCTTTTATGTCTTTTCTCGTATAATATTTCTCGAACTCTCCTAAACTTTTTATTATTATTATTATTGTGATATGTACAGGCATGGCGACTATACGAAGATAACATGGCAATGGAGATAGTAGACAGAAGGTTAGACCCAGACGAATATAATGTAGAAGACATGAAAAGAATCATAGAAATTGGTTTCCTATGCACGCAATCATCGGCTGCTTTGAGGCCTACAATGTCAGAAGTGGTTGCTTTGCTTAGAACAGTGAGCTCCTTAGAGCCTACAAGACAGCCCACTAGACCTGCCTTCATTGATTCTGAGACAAGGATTGGTCCTCATGAACAAGATACTTCTACTTCTACTGCCTCTTCTAATGCAACGAATTCTATCTCTGAGCTTTCCGCTCGTTGATTTCCCAAATTTCCAAGATTAAATCACTCAATTTTTCATTTTAAATCTTCAACTCACTTCTCATTGTGATCATCAGCTGTGTGTTTTATTAGTAAAGTACTGAAATTTCAGTTTAATATTTGATATTTATTTTAGATTTGATAATTTAAAACATGATATGAACACAATACAAAAATACAAAAATATAAAAATGATACGAGTTAAAATTTTAATAATAATTTTATATAAATTTAATAAAATTATAAAAAATATTTTATATTTTTTTATAGATATAACTTGTAATATATAATTTTTGAATAAAATATAGTATGAATATATTAATTTTAATATTTTTTATATAATACGAGTTAACGAATTATTAGATCTAATTTATTCTTTGATAATCTTAAATATAAATAATTTTTTTTTGAAAATTTGTATAATTATTTCTTGAATTGTGTACTTGTAATTTGAATGCACCATCCAAATATATTGAAACCAAAAGAAAACTTTTCGATTTAAAGATTATTTTCCTTCAATTTCTCTTAATTATGCTAGTTTCTTCCAGCAGGATCGATTCAATTTGATAGCTAATTAAATAAACTGGATATAAATGGGTATATGAACTTTTTTTTCTATTTTCTTTTTGGCAAATGAAAATTTTAAACTAACTAAAATAAATTGAATTGATAACAGTCCAATACTTTGTCTATAATGCTTAGATTTAATTTTTGCTGTCAATAATTTTTTGATAAATAATATGTAAATCTAATATAAGTCGTCTTTAAAGCATCTGAGCTTAAAATAAGAAAACTTTACCTCACCCGTTTTTTTTCTACCAAAAAAATAGAAATTTTAAGGGTAGATTTGATAATTAGGGAGGATGGGGAAGAGAAGTGTGCAGCTGACTGTTGAGCCGTGACCGTTAGGTTTGCATTTCTCCAAGCACCTACAATTCAAATGAGAAATCCCTGTAATTGGCAAAGGTACTTTGACAAAGAGCTTCCCATCCCCATGACCAGACACAACCACCAAACCACCATTATCTCAAGCAGAGAAAGGGAAGGAGGGGAGAGAGAAGATGTTGTCATTTGTGATGGAAGAATTGAAGAATGGTGATGCATCTCCGACGACATCATCTCCCCCAACACCACCATCACCTCTCCCCATTAGTGTAGGACCTGGCAACCAAAAGTACTTGTTTTCACCTTCCCCAACTCCTTCACCGCCCTTCTCTCCGCCTCCTTCCACCCATGCTTCGGCTGAAAACCTCCCTCTTTTGCATGACAACCCAACGTCCACTCCACCTCAAGTAACATCAGCTTTTTCATTAGACCGGAAAGACCCGGATAAATTGGAAGATAAAAGTTCATGTCTCAAGGACTTGTAAGTTCTCATTTTCTCCTTACAAATAATAATCTACCAAAGGTTACATTCTACAATGATAGGCAATTTAGTAGATATGATAATTAGCATATTTGTTTCATATTTGTTTCATATCAATACGTGTATAATATAAAAATTATTATGTCACAATTCATTCAACAAGTCAAATACAAAACATTTATATTATTTTCATGTCTTTTTCATATCTCATATCGAATATCTGAATTATTTTTGAAATTACCTGATGAAGATGAATGCTCCAGCTTAATAGTATTATCTTCACAAGACCTTATGATCCTGATGCCACTATTGCAACTTTAGGGTTTTGCTCCAACAACCAGTCAATGCACTGCAAATGCAAAGCTGAAGTCTTAACGGCATCTTCAGTTTTAGCCTGTGACTGACTGGTAGTTGTAGGTGTAAAAATGGGTATTCAAATCCTTGCGATAAAATTTGCTCTTACAATAAAATTTGCTGATGTAACCATTGAAGCGCCTCGTGGCATTGCATCAATTTTTATTTTTTTGACTTTTTTTTTAATGTTTAATAATCTTTTAGATTGTATTCTTTTTACCTTGCTTTACCGTTTCTTATTTTATTGAAAATATTTAATAAATATTTTTCTTAGATTTTAAATTTTTTATGTGGCAGTAACTTGATACTAAAGGAAAGCAACGTATTTGTTTCTTTTTTTATTATTATTTTTTATTATTTAATAAATAATTTTTTAGATTTTATTTTTTATTGGATTCACTTGATACTAAAGATATATCATGTATTAAAGCATTTTAAATTTTTTCTCTTTTTCTCTTTTTTATTTTTTTATTTTTTAATATTTAACAAATATTGTAAAATATTTTAAACATTTTTAAGTGGAGCCCAATTAATATTATTAATTAAAAAAATATTTTTTCTTTTTTAATTTGATAATTTAAAAAAATTAACATGTACCAACGTTACATAGTGATTTGATTTTTTTTTAGTCTTTTCTTTTTTTGTTTTATAAAATTCATGATATAAATTTTACAAAATAACTCATCATTGTTAATATCACGTAATAACTCAACTTTCTCTTTTTTAATTTTTTTTATTTTTGTCTTTGATTTTTCCTTATTTTCTTCTTTTTCTTTTTTTTTTTCGCTTTTTCAAATTAGATTTTATAAAAAGAGTAAAGAATGTACACGTCACATCTTTTTTTTTCCTATCCCTTTTGTTAATTTTTAATTAGATAAATTTTGTATCAAAGGGTATTGATAAATAAATTTTTGAAAAAAATATCAATAAAAATATGAATGACAAAACAATTCTTATTATGATAAACTTTGATTTATCCAAACCTAATGGATATGCCTTTTTTTTTAATTTGAAATAGGATCGATTTTTTTAAAAAAATTAAGATTAGATCGATTCAAGTTTATGATGTTTCATTTTGTCTTGATTTATATACATATATATATGTTTTATTATTCATTTAATTTTATATTTATTTATATATTATATCAATAAAATTATTATTTAATATATTAATTTAATAAATTCATGTATCATCACCATTCACCATTTGGCTTCATTTTCTTTTTTTTTCTGGCTATTTCCTTTATTTTTTAAAATTTTTTATTATTTTCATTAGATGAATTTTGTAAAAAAAATTAATGGATGTAGAGATTATAAATCAACTCATATCCCATAGGTTTTAATTCAACTGAATTCAATATGTATTTTTAAAAACTAAGAACTAATTGAGATTTTTCTCTTTTAAAATTGAGGCTTTATTTAAGGTATGAACATTTCTTTTTCCTTTTTTTATTTTTTTTCTTTCATTTCTTTTTCATTTGACTTTTTTTCTCTTTTATTTTTTTTTGTATATTTTTAATTAGATAAATTTTGTAACAAAAAATATTAATTGATAAAACTATCAAAATAATTTATATCCAATAGAATTTGATCTATTTTGATCCGATAAAAAATAATTTTTTAAATTGAGATCGAATTCGGATAGATAAAGTTTTTTATAAAGTACAAGATCAAGCCAGAAGCATATTTCTTGATTTATTTTCAAAGTATATATAAAACAATATATTTTATTATTAATTTAATTTTATATTTATATTATATTTATATATTTATTATATTAATAAAATTATTATTTATAACTTCATTTAAAAATTAATATTTTAAACTAAATAAAAGTATCCATGTGGCATCATTTATGAGAATTTTTTTTTTTTCTATTTCTTATTTTTATGATTTTTTTTATTTTTTGTTCTAATTTAAATATTCACGTATCACTTGCATTTCGTTTTTTCCCTTTTTTTCAATTCGATAAATTTTATAATAAAAAAATTGATAAACAAAAATAAAAATAAAATAATTTCAACCTACAACAACGTGCGGACTCCCACCTAATAACAATAACTATCACAGGCACAAATCCGCTCGTACTAACTTCATTACTTTCCTGTTTTTGTCTACTTTAACCTTTAAATTCTACTCATATAACTATATATATCTTCAGCACAATAACTATAGCTCGTATTCCATGAAATACAGGTTGGAATGGTTAGTGCAAAAATGCTGCAATTGGAGTTCCTGATGGTTCATGTGCTATCTACATATCCATCCATGGACACATACAGAAATTCCAAAGTAAACTCCAAAAAGTTGGCCACGCAGATTCTACAGAACTAACCCTTGTTTTATTTTTCTCTTTCTCTTGTTTTTCTTTATTCTCAGACTTTCCTGTAACAGGTACTGCTAACCCACTGCCCATTCCCAAAAGGAAAATTCTCATCAACGCATGATCACAACAATTTTTAACTTGAATATTCAAATATTCAGTTTTTCCCCTAATGCAATTCTTCTGCCATTCATTGCTATCTCTGCTAAACCATACAATTTATATATTTATATCATATAAAATATTAAAATTTAAGTATTCAATATCACATTTCACTCAAAAACTGTGACAATTCGTGTCCACATAAAAACATGAAATACATTTTTTGATTTTGTTAAACTCATATGCAATTATTGTTAAAATTTTAAGTTGTATCACTTTTGTATCTTATTTTTGTATCATGTTTGTCTAGTGTCATCATGTCGTGTTTTAAATTATCAAGTCTAATTTTTGCCCCTAAATTCATGTGGGATGTCGAATTGAATGACTGGATGACAACAACTATTATTAGTTGAAATGCATGCTCAAATCAGAATAGAAATGCCATTCTGAATCTTGATAGTAGAAAACAAAATAGCAAACCCACACAAACTCCTTCAGGTACAAGCAAGCACAAACATATGGGCAAAGTCACACTTGATTTGATAAAAAAAAATAGTGTATAAAGCTATAATGCAAGCCAAAATGAACACACATTAATAAGTGAGAAAGAAAGAGTGAATACCAGTATGAAAAGAAAGTACACCTTAGCTCTCCAACTAAATGTAGGTCTCCAGGTGTGTATCCCCCATACCCCAACTAAAAAGAAATAACAATATTAAATTAAATTTAAAAAAAAAAAAAGCAACAGGCATGACATTTATAAGAGCCAGACATCCTGAATGGCTTCAAGGAAAAGTTATTGTACAATAACTCACGACAGCAGACTACAAACAGTTTCCAGACAAGCTGGAATCAA